GGGGGGAGATCAGTTACGCTCTCCGCCCCAACCGACTCCCCTATCCTCACCTCCTAACCTCACCTTTCTATCTCTATGTCCACGTCTCTGTCTCTTTCCTCACCTCTCTGTCTGTCCCTGTCCTCACCTTCCTATCTCTGTTCGCACCTCTTTCTGTCTTCTGCTCCGAGTGAGACGTCTTTATGTCTCGTGTCTTTTCTTTTATCTCTCTCCTTCCTCCTGTTGTGGACAGTGTTGTGGTTTTACCTCCTGGTTGGCTTATCATGCCTTTCTTTGTCCTGTCCCTGAGAAGTGACAGTTGTCTTGGAAACAAACAAAACAAAACACACAAAAGGATTTCTTAGTGTCGGTTCACAGTTCCTTCTTGGTCCTCATAGAACAGTTCTTGTCAACCTGTTCGTAGTCAGCTCCCATGATTGCAACTTGAGGTTGAACAAATGTTCCTACCGCCCACTTACATGCATTTCCAAGCAGGGCATTAAACAAGACCTGTCATCACGTGCAAGTCGCGTAAGTTAAAGTTTCCTTGGTGGTCTAAAATCGATAAGAGTAGGCTTTGGCTTCTGGTTGGTCATACCTTTTCTTTGTGCCTCTTGTTTCTAAAGTTCTGTCCTAACCGGAACCTGGGCGGTCGGCGGGTGCTGTGGTGCGGCTTGCTTCTTCTTTCCTATCAAATATCTATCGTCATTATCTCCCCTTCTTCTTTTTTTATGTTTGTTACTCTCTTATAACACCTCTAATCTTCTGGGGCCCATTATTATGACCTTATGCATTTGCGAGCGCCGTTAAACCTATACTAAAACTAAAACTAACCGGAGTTGTGGTGTAGCGGTTAGGCGCTTCGCTGTCGCACCCAGGAAACCCGAGTTCGATTCCCGAGTGGGGAGAATTTTTATCGAGTATATCGGTCTTTCTGATGGGATGCTGTATCTTCTCTGCCTGGGTTGATCCTGACGGGCGGGGTCGAGTCCCGCCTCTTGGAGGGCCTAAATAGTGTCGGTGGGGGTGTAAAATACCTACATTCTGAAAAAAATAAAATAATGTCTGTCTTGTCTTCTCAAGAGTTCTTAATGACCGTTATTGCGATTCCTCCAAATTGATTTCCCTTTTCTACTTGTATTGCACTAGAGACACAGAGAGAAAGAGAGAGAGAAAGAGAGAGAGAAAGAGAGAGAGAAAGAGAGAGAGAGACGGAGAGAGAGAGTGAGAAAGAGAGACAGAGAGATGGAGAGAGAGAGATGGAGAGGGAGAGACACAGAGAGAGAGAGAGAGAGAGAGAGAGAGAGAGTGAGAGAGAGAGAGAGAAAGTGAGTGAGTGAGACGTAGAGAGATCGAGAGAAAGAGTGAAAGACATCGAGAGAGGGGGAGATCGCTTTTAAAAAATCTTGAAGAAGCAGAAAAAGACGAACGGAGAGAAGCAAACAGAGAGGGCGCGAGAGTGAGAAAGAGAATGAAAGGAAAAATGTGTGAGATGTAGAGAGAGAGAAAGAGAGAGAGAGAGAGAGAG